AGGGAGAGATTCCAGCAGAGGGGGGAAATCGGGAAAAAAGGAGAGGCGTGACAAGAGAAATCGGAGTAAGAGAATTGGAAGGGAAGCAGCAGGTGGAGGCGTGCAAAAACAAAGGAGGCGAAAGAAGGACGCAGGGGGAACCAAGGAGGGGGCCATGGAGGAAATCTTTGGGATTACACAAGCTGCGGAGGCGTAATAGAGGGGGGCAAGACCAAACCGCGGGGGGTCATCAAGCGCGGGGGGTCATCCTCCATTACCCCCCCCCTCCCCCCCCCCCGGCCGGCAATGGGTTCCACGTAGAAAACCCTCGTTGAAGCAAACAACGGCAACAGCAGCCCTTTCCTCGGCTATGCACAAACGGTGGCGATTTCTGTCATCGGCTGCCGAGCCGCCAAGTTTCCGAGGCGAGCGCTCATCGCTTAAAAACACTTACGTTCCTAAAAAAAGCAGTCACTCGAAGCAGGAGATGAACAAAAACACCGATTCGTCTCGCCGTCCAAGAGCGAGCGGCCCCGGGGCGCGCCTCCCTCTCATCCACACCAATCATACGCACAAAAAAAAAAGAAAAAAAATGTCCGCTGTCCCCTTTCCCCGGGGAGGCTCGTATCTCGGAGCAGCGAAAAAGCTCTAGCTCTGGTCACCATTCCCAAAGAGGCTTCGACTCGCTTTGCCGTGCTGCTCGAGCGGGTGTGCCCGCAAGCGCCCCCCCCCCCCCCCCCGGCGGGGAACGCCCGAACGGACCGCTCCATCTTTTGGTCTTTTGGCAGTGGGGGGGCCGAAAATGTCGACTGCGGTTGGCGCTAAAACCTGCAATTCTTTCCCGCAGCGCACGGCATCGTCCAGCGCTTCACCCTGACGCGACAGCATCATGGCTGCGGTATGGCCTTGCGGTTCACACGTCTGAATTAATACACCATCCCGGAAGGACAAACCCTATCCACGTACACACCGCAGAACGATCGTGACCGGAAAGGGACGGGGGCTACGTGTGGGGTAGGTAGATCCGCATTTGCCAAGCCATGAAACCGTCGTGCCCCCACCCCTCTTCGGAAGAAAATCTCCAAGCGCAACCTCTTTGACCCACCACCCCACCAATTGCTCCCGCGGAGCCCCCCTACCTCGTGCGGAACATACCGCCCAAAAACTACCCCCCAAATATTTTTGGGGTCGGCAACGCGGTCCGTCAGGCGTCACATCGCCACAGAAAAGGTGCACAGGCAGACAGGCAGGCCAAGACAGCGATGCTTAGGTCAGGTTTCCTTAGAATCCCCCGTCGGCTCTCCCGCGGCCTGGTCTGCTGCCTCCTCTGATGTCTCTCCTTGGCTGAGGCTGTCCGCGTTGCTCTGCTAATTTGGGTTCGAGGGGGGGGGAGAGGGGGGGGCATACTTATGTTTTGCATGCCTTAGCGGTTGGACCGTTGACCACGCGTCCTCGAGAGGACGGCGCATTGTTCCTGCAGGACTGATCACCGATCGCCAATATTTCCTTCCTACTTCGCAGAGGTGGTTCAATAAAATGTTTCTTCCCCCTAGACTATCTATCCTACCGAAGGGGGGAGGGGGGTGTACTCATAGCCGTGCATGCCGTAGTCATTAGAACACTGGCGTCGCATCCCGACAAAGCCGGAACGGAGCACGCCGGGTTTTCACCGGACCAGGCTAAAGTATCACATCACCACGCGCAAAGGGCCGTGAGGTAATCACCGAGTCGCATGGAGTGCGCGCTGCATCCTACAAAGGTGTTCGGCATCTTCCTTGCATACTAAACGTATTTCTTACCAATCGGGGGGCGGGGTAAAGACGACGATGACAAAGACATCAATAGTGCGACGTGGGTGTGGGGCGTACCGTAGCAGCGTGGGAAGAGACTACTGCGAAGGGCATGAAACATCGAGACTGCCCGAAACCCGTGCTCTTCCTCATCCCCGGACCTAAGCTGCACTCTGTTATTGGAAAAGCAAGAGACGCAGCTAGTGGCACTCGGGTTACAGTTACATTCCGGCCAGGAAGAGCATACACGGCAACACCTTAACCACCTCCCGATGCATACAGTACACGCAACGGTCGTGCAACGGTGCCAAGCGCGCGCCGTTGCTTCAAATCCGCAGGCAGCGTCGCACCTTGAAGTTCACACGGTACAGGATGACCGAAAAACCGTTCCACTCATTTTTCCGGCACCACATGCCGTTGAAAATCTCTCCCCCCCCCCAAAAAAAAAAAAATCTCACCCTTCATGCGACTCGCCGAATACCTCACGGCGCTTCGCGCTTGGTGATGTGAGAGCCTGGTCCGGTGAGAACCCGGTGTGCTCCGTCCCGGCTTTGTAGGGATGCGAGGTCAATGGTCTAACGACTACGGCATGCACGACTATGAGTACCTCCCCCCCCCCCCCCTCCCCCCCCGGGAGAAGAACAAGAAGAACCAGCCCACCCGCAAACCCCACCTTGTCCCTCAAAACCATCCCCCCGCAAAAAAGAAAACCGCTCCTATCCCCGCCTTGCCCGGCCATCATGATTCACTCTACCGCTGATCCGTCATCACCGCCTGCCTACACCACCACCACTACCACCACCCTGCTGCTGCTGCTGCTGCTGTACCTCTGAGTCCTCCGCGGCCCTCTGCGCCCGTCGGCCCGCGACCCCCTTCCCCGTTTCGCTCCGCTTCAGCCCCGGAAACGCCACTAGCACCGCTGACATGTTGTCTCGGCTCCCCTGGAACAAGCACTGGTCGTCGGGGGGGGGGCGGGTACTCGTGCCTTAGCGGTTGACCACGCGTCCTCGAGGCGTGAGTAATATGACACATGCGTCACACCGTATTGCATCGGTGAGCGACGTAATGCAGCCAGAGGTATCATACACCGGGGATGCCGGAATATGTTTTTCGTGCGCCATAGGATGCGTGAGATATTGCGCTCCCTGGACCGACTTTCAACGCGTGTCTCCCCCTCCATAAAACCAGCGATTCATCGAGGGACCGATCAATAGCGGCATGCCTGCTGTTTCCTGGTACTGCCACAGTCGAAAGCCCTGCTTGGTGGCGTCACATGAACCAAAATTTCCAGCTGCTGCCTGTAAGGGTCGGCGAGCCTAACATCATCACGCAAACTCATCGAGAATACGAATGTGTATGTTCCTCGGGTGCTGTCTACGTTACATGAGTGAGCGATATCGGCGAGACCCCCCCCCCCAAAAAAAAAAAACTTACCGCTCGCTACTTCGGCTCCCACTCCCTTTCCATCGAAAAATAAACTGAAACCGCTGCTATCATCCATTCATGCCTACTTTTCGATCCGGGAGCCGCTTTCACACAACCGGAACACACCGGTGTACTCAATGTAGACCACGCCCGTCTCTCAATGTTGCTGCAAATAAACAATGCGAACCAAAGTAAAAATCAACAGAGATGCACAACCGAGACACACACCGGAGTGCCCAACGTCGTCTGTCTCTCGACTTTACTGCAAAGAAACAACGTTACAAAAGTAAACGACTGCACAGCCGAGACACATCAGTGTACTCTACCTAGACCACGCCTGTCTCTCAACTTCGCTGTAAAGATGCAATGCCACCTAGAGAAAACAACAAACAACGGCATAGCCGAGACACACCGGTGTACTCAATGTAGGCCTGTCGCTTAACCTTGCCGCAAAACAAACAACACGATGCACGCTCACCATGTCCAAGATCTCCTCGCAAGCCAACCCCATGCTGCTCTCTCCCTCCACGAATATCTCTCGGACCGCTTGCGTGCAGTCCTACTCGGCAAGGCCACCCAGCCGGCAGCAAGCAACACAAGGCACAGAGCATCAGGACGGCATCAGAGAGGGAGGCGGGGGATAGTTGTGGGTCCTTTCTCGCCGGAGGACTGAGTGCTTCGTGAAAATATTCAAGGTAGTGCCAACGGGGCCTGAGTCAAGTTTGATAGGTGCGGGCGGGGAGGTTAGAGCTCACTCTCGCAAAGGTGGCGAAGAGAGACGATTGGGCCCACCCCCTCCTTCCCTTGTGTTGCTGAAACTTGCTGTTGCTAGATGCTCCGGTGTTGCTCGAAACGGAAGGACGGGACGTGGTCTCGAGTGCATCACAAGAGTCCCGAAGATAACGTCAACCGCCGACACGACACCACCACACAACACACACACACCCCTTGCTGCCTCGGGGGAAAAAACATCGCACCCTTACACTCCCGCCTGGGACGTACGGTGTGTGTGTTTGGAGCTTAAGGTTGGAGGCAAAGCTATAGCAAACATGCTCAAGGACACGCGCGCAAGGTCGGCTTCGTCCCATTTTCTCCAACCGGTACAATGTCCGCCCCCCCCCCTAACCTCCCCGGCGCACGAGCGGGCGACCCTCCTCTCTCCGCAACATTTCGCCCACGAACGAATTTGGCACAAAAATACCACCACACCACCACCACCACCACCACCACCACCAACAGCAACAACAGCAACAACAACCAGCTGCTGACCTCGTCAGACATGACGTCCCAAATCCCGTCGCACGCCACAACGAGGAACTCGTCCTGAGGGGACCTTGGGAAGCTCCGCGTCTCAGGCGCCGGCGAAACCTTGCACTCTTCCGGCGGGAGGGCGTCGTCCTTGTACTGGAAGTCCCCCAGTGCGCGCGACTGAACCAACCAAAGCGTTACGGTTCGAAACACACGGGGGTGCGAGATCAGAGCACAACTCGGAATGGGGTTGGGTGCATTGCGCAGTTTAAACTTCTTCACTCGTGCCACTAACTAGCGCGTGGGGATCGTTTTTTTTGTGGAGAATGGGGGGAAGACAAGCAGTTGATGGTTAACAACGACCAACCACGGCAGCGGGTCTGACGGCTCCACGCAGCTGGCGCTTGGGGGTCGTTTTCATTGTGGCCAATCGGGGGAACACAATCAGTCGATGGTAAACAACGACGGCAACGCAAAACACGGGGCGGACGGCGCCACGCAGCGAGCACGCACGTACCACGGCCAGATCGCCGTCCACTCGCTTCATGCTGACGACCCCCCCCGCCTTTTCTATCCGAGCCCTCTCCCCGTCGTTGTAGGGCTTATGATCCGCTGTCGCCACTGCCACCTGAGCAAAAGCGGAGAGGACGACAATGCGCGAACAAAGGGTCACAAGCGGAAAGAAGCACGCGCGACCAGAGCGCATGAACAGCAACGCAATGTCGAACGAGCCGTGGAGCGGAGAGTGCCTGCACGACATGCGGCGAAAGACCAAATGCTGTACGCATGCCATGATTCGCAGTGCCAAAGCCAGGTAGGCACCCCCTACTGTTTTGTTTGAAGCCGGTTGGTGCTAGCAAGCATTCGGTGGCGTCGAGGTCGGCCACCACCCCAGACCAGAGGGCATACAAGCGAACGTTGATCCATGTGGTCGCAAGGCGTTGCTGCTGATGTACGTCCATAGTCTCTAGTAACGTCCGTCTTTGCCTCCCTTGTCTAGGTCTCTATGCCATCTCTCCCTCTAAGCCTGGCTACCGCCTTTTGGGCCTGCCACGGCACATGTGTAGATAGGTCCTTGCCGTAAAACTCCAAGAACAAACACAACAAACACAATACAACAACAGGCTGCCGGTGCTGCTGATGCACCTTCTGCCCGCTGGCGAGAACGGCCCTCGAGTCCCCCGCGTGCGCCAGCACCACGTGCGTGGGCGTGACGAACGACGCCACCGCGGTGCTACCGCTGCGGTCCCCCTCCGGGTTGGCATCCTGAGAGGCCTTTACCGACCGGTCGCACGCCAAGAACGCCGCGTATAGTGCCTTCTCCAGGACCTTCGGGAGTGGGGGTGTCGCATTTCACGTTGGGCGGATGGGTAGGGGTTACTGAAACTGCCAGAACGAGGGGGTACGCTATTGTTGCTCCGTTTATGGGACTCCTGTTCGCGACACCCTTACCATAGAGACGGAGCTTCTTTGTTCTCCGTATCTTCCTCTCATCCCCGTTCCCCCCCCCAAAAAATCAACATCATATGCTTGCGGACCCTTCGGGTCCATCGTGCTTGAGAGTAACATTTTTTATGGCAAGCTAGCCTGTGACCACGGGAATCGAACCGGTCAAGTGATTGATCATTACGGACAGATGGAGATACTGGGTGGAGAGATCGGAACTTTTTTTTTGTCAAGACATCAACAACAACGACGACAACAACAATATTCGCCAGTCTCCGCCACCGCCTCCAAAACAACCCGGTGCTCCCCTTCCCATATCCCCCCGTCGAAATCCAGACCCCGAAAAACCTGACACGCACTATTGTATTAGCGTTTTTTCACAAGCAGGACCCTGTCGTCCTCCAACAACTACGCCCCCCCCAATGGTAGAACCCCTACGGTACCTACCCGTTGGCTAAAAAAATGTTCGTGTTTTTTATCCCACTGCGCAGAGCCCGGCACGCTGAGCCACGAAAAAAAATGACAGCAAGCTGTCAAACGACACTGCTCCGCGTTCCCTGTCAAGGTCACATGACACGACAACGCAGGGCTTCTCCCCGATAGTTTTGTCCTTGTACCAGTAGAGAACTACAGGGCATGTATTGTAAATTGCATCTACCTACATACGCAGATGCTTTTGTACTTAGCACCAGCTGGCATCAGTGGTATAATTCAATGTAGAGGCAAAACAGACTCAAAATAAGCCCAGTTTCTAGCCGGTTTCCCTCGAAAAGAATTCAAAGCATTTCCCTTCGACTGCTGCTGTGGATATATCTCGAATGGGGTGTGTTTCTTTTAATATATGATTATTTTCTAAAAATGGGTTTTAACAAAAAGTGGAGGATGGGGGATTTGAACCCCCGACATTTCGCATGCAAAGCGAACACTCTAACCCCTGAGCTAATCCCCCATGGGAGGACATTTACAACGGAGATGATGCGGATTTAGACTGATGCCATCCCATCCGTCAGCCGGGTAGTGCGTTCAATGCTACACAAAGAGAATACCCGCACACCCGCACACGCACACCCGCTGGCATCCCCTCAAGGGTTCCCAGATCGTGGCCTTCAGAAGCATTTTTGTTTTCAACAGCACCGAGACTGACGTCTTTTCATAGGTTAGCGCGGTCGATGCTAACAACAAAAACATACAAAACACACACAAGGTCATCTGGCTCGAAGATCTTGCTCTCTTCCACGCCACGATTCCCTCCTCGATTGCTGTCTTGATCGCTCCCTTGTCCTCCCGTTCCCTCCAAATGAGGAGGAGGAGAGGGAGCGGGAGGACAAGAGAACGGCTAAGACAACAATCGAGGAGGGAATCGTGGCGTGGAAGAGAGCAAGAGCTTCGAGCCAAATGACTCTCCCCACGACAAACGACGCAGGGCTAGAGAAGAACTGCTAAAAACTAGCTGTCAAAATGACGACGAAAGTGATGGTGGTGAAAGCAAGGAGGATGATGGTGAAAGCACTCCAAAACGAGCTCGAGTGCCAGGTAGCAAGCAGCCTTGGTAGACACTTCAGTTTCTTCTGTTGCTACCGTTTCTTGTCTTTCAGCCGGAGAACAGCTTAGCCTCCCCCTCACTGGCTCCCAGTTAATAGCATTTACAAGTGTTTTGTTGTGTTTTCAACCGCACTGAGACTGATGCCTTTTCATTGGTCAGCCGATTAGCGCAGGCGATGCAAACAAATAAAGACGCACACAAACGCCGGCTTGGCTTACCGTCGTGTCCTTCTCCGTCGACTCGGCGTACTCCGCGAACTCGGCCGTCTCCATGACGTGCCGCATCATGTTCTCCCCGGCATACGCCGCGCACAGCGCCCCGCCGTGACCGTCGAAGACGGCCACGAACGAATGCCCCTCCAGACCGGCAACGTTCGCAACGATGGTGTGAGAGTCCTCCATGTCTACCCGCCACCCCTGCGGCGTTGTTGCAGTGAGCACGGAGGGGGGGGGGGGATGAGGGCACACGATTTGCAAGGGGCCCTCCCAGTGGAAACCCAAGGCTACATCGGAATTTTGGTCGCGGGGGGGGGGAGGGTAGGCCTAATATGTTCCCCGGCGGGGATATTCTTACATTATCCCCGGGGTTTGGACAGTATTTCGCGCGCTTTTTTCAGCGCGCGGGCGCCGGATCTCTCGCAGAGCCAGTGTGCAATCGTGCGCCCTTGTCTTATGAGGCCTTCTCTAAAGAGACCATGCCTGCTGATGAACGACCACTGCTCGAGGAGGAGGAGGGCAGTGCCACACAGAGTAGCGCTCCTGAGCTCTTGCGAGTTATTCTTGGCACATATCTATAACAATTGCACGCACGACATATACTTATACCGCTCGAGACTGATTTTGCATGAAGAATTTTATAATGCAGCAGTAGGGGAAGCATTGTTCCCACAGGACCCATCACTGATGGCCAATCGTTCCGTGGGCACGGGGGGGGGGGCAGAATGGGGGGGTACACGCTGAGGTTGGGTAGTGGGGTGGCACAAAAAGGCAGCGCGGTCACGTTTGTTGGAGAGGGGAAGGAGGCACAGGAGATACTCTTTTTCATCACGCTGGGGTTGGGCAAGGGGTACTATTGTCACGCAGCGGGCTGCGGAGGGGGGTGAACTCTCTCGCATTCCTGAGGACCGAGCTTGGACGGACCAGAACTTTTGGAGACTATTCCGACAACGGAGAAATGGGCATGAGCCACCGCTAAAAAGACACAACAGATTAACCTCGCCGCACGTGGTCGAGGTGGTGGCAAACATGCCTCATCCGTTTTCTTCTCCTGCGGCAACCTACAAAATAAAAAACAAGCGAAAACTCCCCCCATCATTGCTTGACAAGAGGCGTGCACTTGCACACTGACGTGGGCACTGGAAGCATGGTGGCCCCCAACCCCAACATCTCGCTCATGGCACCCTCTCCAAATACATCGTGCTGCATCCAGTTGTATCGCAGCAGACGTGTATCGTTTTTTTCTCTCGCGCTACCGTTCTCTTTGGCGTGTACCGTGACGTCGACTTGTCCCGGTTCTCCCATCTTCGGACACCTGGCAATAGACCTATTCCCGGACAATCGGGACGGTAAGATAAAGGCAGCCGACCCTCCCAGGACGCATCGCGTGGCCGTCCCTTCGGGGTGGCCGTGTGTGCCCACCTGCATCGCCGAGGCTCCGAACTCCAACCCATTGCTCCCGGTTTCCGTCTCTGTCTCCTTCTCTGTCACCGGCTTGTCCAACAGCGTCCCCTGAACGTGCAACAACACAAACGCGGAAGTTGCGCGGACGGCAGCGAGCGGCAAAGTGATCGTCTTGGTCAGTCTCGGCAAAATCACGGCCAAACGAGTCTCCAAAATGTATTGCGTGAGTGCGTTCGTCCGATTTATTCTGGCGCCAGTCTACAGGCCTTTCGGTGTAAACATCTGACGTACGTAGATAACAACCGGAGTTACGCGACAGGAAGGTCACAAAGAACTTTTTTTTTCTTTTTTTCCGTCGTTAACTGGCCCCCCCCGGGAGTAGGCCAAGCTGAATCAGCTTGACTTCATCTCGTTTTCTACATAAGAGGGCGGCGAAAAGGGGATGGTCTGCAACTTACCGCAGCAGTTTTTCTTGTGTTGTGTTTTCGTAACTTGCGGGTGTCGGTGTGTGCGTGTTGCAGTAACGGGGTTGCCTCTTTAACGCGCACAACTGTGTACAAGACCACAGCCAAAAAGAAGTTTCCTTCGAAGAAGGAAACGGGATGTTTCTGGCGATTGAGAAAGACGGCCGCGGATATTCTGCCGCCAAAGGCGCAACACATTGCAAGCACGATCCCGGTCGTATTTCCTGTCATGCAAGAGGAGGTGAGGGGGGCGGGGGGGCGAAAAATCCTGCTTATGTCCATGGCGGAGCAACTGCGGTTGTGTTGTCCCAAAGCGTGCGGCAACATTGGATTTTGGCTCCCGTTCCGTGGAAGCAAGACGACAACAATGTTGACATTCCCGCCGCCCGTGTGTTCGGACTTACGACACCAAAGCTTGTTGCGCTGCTTTCTGTGGCATGTGACCGCGTCGTGTTGACTGTTCTTCAGCTGGAGCACGTGCTTATCGGTGCATATGACTATTGCTGTTCTGCACCGCCATTTTCGTACCGAAGAACGTGTGTGATAGGTTATCAACAGAGACGCCGATCCCGCAGGATGTGTCAATTTGAAACCAACGTGAAAGCAACATGGACGACCGATGCATGCACGCCACCACGGGGCGCATTTATTAGTAAAGCGCGCAATAGCAAGGGCTGGGGGCGAAGCACCAAACACAGTCAAACAAGCAGCTTCACGCAAAACGCTGAATCTGTAGTTGTACTTGTACAGCAGTAGTGCTCCCCCAAAGGGCGCAACAAGTGTTGAAACGTTGAAACGAAGTCCAAAACCCACAACCGATTTTCACCAGGAGTTCAGGCAAGTGCTGCAATACCGCAACACGCCATCAACTCACCATTGCACAATGACACCGTCACGGGTAGATAAGGATCCTCGACTTGTGCGCCAAAAAGAAGAGCTCGTTGTAGACGCAACTGCTGCGAAGAAGCTGGACTGCTGCTGCTGCTGCTGCTGCTGCTGTTGGCTCTGTCGCCGACAAGGAGGTTGGTTCGTTCCACAGCAAAAATGGAGACAGCTGTTTTTCTTCCGCGGCCGAGGCGAAAATATCAACAACACGCCGTCGATCACGTGTGTCAAAATCTCCCCTTCCCTGTCTCTCCAGGTCCTGTTGCCTGCTCTCCTCTCCAATTGCTTCGCCCTTGCGTCGTCTTGCAGTGGTGGTTGGCGCGTCCCGTTATTGTCGTTGCATTGTTCTCGACTTCTCGACGTGCTCAAGAAGGGGCAGGGTATATACCCCGTCTATGCAATCTGCGGAGCCGCTGGGCCTTGCCTCTTCCCCGTCCCTTCTGCCTTGCTGCTTGTTGCTGCTTCGCTGTCAACACTGCCACGTGCTCTCTCCCTATCCCTGTTAGGGTGCATACTCGTGTGACAGGCTCCTCAGGACTAGCTAGGTGGCACGCTCTTTGCCGCCGTCCTCGAGACTTTATCCCAGAGGGAATCTCTCACAGCAGGGGTTCCGAATTGCCTATTGAGCAGTGTAGTGTTAGAAGGCACACGTGAAGGCACACGCGCGCGACCCAACATCACATTGCTCAGCCGCAAGTCCTACCACCTTCCGCCCCACCACCATGAGTCTCAACGCGGTCCAGGGCCAGAGAGCGAAGGAAGGAGAGAGGGCCCGGCTCTTCCCCGCGCCCATGACCGGCTACAGCAACGGCCGGAGCGAATCGCCAACTGATCTCGAGCAACCTCCTGCCAGGTTCGTTCGTGTTTGCTGGCTCTTTCTACTCCTTCCCGCTCATAAGCGGTGCAGCTGCCGCTATTCTGCCGATGACGAAGGTAGTTCCGTTCCTCCGGCGAGAGCTTTGGGCCACGTGAATATGCTGCTCTAGCATTTTTGTTTACATGTTTCGTTTCCTGGTGGTGCAGCACGTGTTTCATGTGAAGGAATGTTGGATTTGTTCTTTCGCGATTGATTTCCTGCTGCCCCCAGCAGGTCCCTTGGGTTCCGTCTCCGTACATTACTGGCGGTGTGTTTACTGTTTCCTACTGCCCGCCGCTCGGAGATTTAAGGTTTTAAGATGATGTGCGGTGGTATATATTTAAGGAATAATAATATATCTACCGCTGGCGTTCGTTCGATGTCCGACAAGTCCGTCAGATCGGGCCCGGCTCAATTGTTGCCAACACTGCGCTGATGCTTGCGTACATGTGCACAGCTATGTTATGTTTCGGACACGATGCGGCCGTCGATTCCCGCCCGCTATGCGTATGTAATTTAGCAGTGTTGCGGCGGGTGATGACACAAGATACCACACCCCCTGGACCAAGAGTGGCGGTGCCGAAACATGGGTGTACTCATAGTCGTGCATGCCGTAGTCGTTAGACCATTGACCTCGCATCCCTACAAAGCCGGGACGGAGCACGCCGGGTTCTCACCGGACCAGGCTCTCGTGCCGAAACATGGGGGGGGGCGTTGGACACTTCTCGTCGAGAGCTATCGTATCGTTTGTACATGCTCTCTGTAGCCCATAGTCGAGCGTTGGTGAAAGGGTGTGTGATGCCTTGTGTCACAGACGGCGATTTTTGTTCCCGATCAGCGCACGTACGATAGAGCGTGTTACATCCCCTCTGTGTAGGTGCAAGACCCCACGGGAGGTGGGGGTGCTTTCTGCTTGCCGGTGGCGTGCCCTGTTGTCCAGGCCTGTCTCGCACAATCAAATAGCACCGCGTCTGGCCAGTTGGGGCTGTGTTTTTTCCATTTTCGTCTTCAAAACGAGCACAGCTCGTTCTCGACCTTCGAGACATTCCTCGTTGAGCGTTGAGAATCAGCGGGCACATCTCATGGATCTCAAGCTTTTGCTGATTAACACTCACTCCAACCGCTCACGTATCGTCGGTGCACGCTACGTACGTACATCATAGAGGATAGAGGGGTGGTGTTCACGCATCTACGTTTTTCAACATCACCTAAAGTCATATATGCAATGGTCGCCCTGGTTCAACAAGTCCACTTCGTCCTTTGGTGTGGCGGCGAGATGTTTGTGTTGCGCATTTCGGTGGCGAATGTGTCCTGGACGGGAGGGAGCACGTTAGAATCGATGAGAGCTTGTCCTTATTTTGTCCCGCCCGGGTTTTTTTTTTCTCTCGTCCCCCTGCTCTGCATTTCCCCCGATGCCAGCGTCACACGAGATCATTGCACGAACACGACAAGATGACACGGTCACAGAAGCAGTGTGATGGTATCGTCCATAAGAGAAGACACCTTCACTGCGCGGGGGTGATGGTTGCATGTAGACAAGATAACCACGTCGCGTATTTTTTCTCTGTCCACTCTTCCAGCTTCGTTCTCTTGACCCTGCATCCTGTTTTTTGCGTTGGCCGCGCCCTCTCGACCCTGCCTACTATCAACGCGCCTTCTCCGCAGCGGGGGGCAGCCGGATGGCGGCGACGCTGACAGCGAGAGCGAGAGCGATATCTGGAAGGCCGCGGTTTTCGGCGCCTTGGATGGCGTGCTCACAAGCTTCGCGGTCGTTGCGGGTGCTTCGGGTGTGTATTGTGTGTGTGTGTGTGTGTGTGTGTCTTTTTTTTCTTGGCATCGACCTCGCTAACCGACTGACCAATGAAGAAGACGCCAGTCTCACTGCGGTTGAAGACAGAAAAAGCTTCCACAGTCATGATCTGGGACTGCCCCATGGGGGAGGATAAGTGCGGGTGTGCGTGCCTTTTGTGTGTGTCATGAAGTAGCGACGACCGCGCTAACCGGCTGACCAATCGACACAGGGGGTGTTATATAACTTGCGCAGCCTACGGTAAGCAGGGCGTTTTGTCGCCCGCGGAAAACTCTGGGATGTTTCTGCCCGCTCCCTTTCGTTCTCGTGAGGAAAACGCACGTCGCGTGACTATCCTCTCGCTGGCTCTTGTCGCCTCTTACCCTTACCACCCTCTCTCTCTCCCTCCTGCCGGTCTCGACACACACAGGTGGGGGGCTTGGCACACAGGCGGTGTTGATCGTGGGGGTTTCCAGCATCGTAGCGGACGGGCTGAGCATGGGGCTCGGGGAGTACCTCTCAAGCAAGGCCATGAACGAGTACATGGATATCGAGCGGAAGCGGGAGGAGTGGGAGCTCGCGAACCACAGAGAGGTGCGTGTACCGTGTGTTTTTGAGGCGCACGTATGTGTCTTTGTGTGTGTCTTTGTTGTTTGCATCGACCGCGCTAGCTGGCTGACCAATGAAAAGACGTCCGTCTCAGTGCGTCTGAAGACGAGAACATGTGTGTATTGTACAGGCCGGGGGGGGGGGGGGGGGTGTTCTCCTTGGCCCCCCCTCCCCACAAAACCCGGGAGGAGCCCCCCCGGGTTTCCCCGGAACCAGGTCTCCCATTACCCAACGCGAAACGCCCTGGGGGATTTTGGGAGTCCCCAGAAGGGGGAAATGCCTCCCGGTAAAGGGGTTTCGGATCTTTTGGTTTATTTCTTTGGTGGGGAAGAAACTTTATTTTATTTTTGGGGGTTTTTCTTTCCAAAAAAGTTTTAAACCCTTTTTTAA